AAGTCCATCACATTATAGTACTATAGTTTTTTTTCTAGCTCTGACTGAAATAACTGTACAACAACACTGCTCGGGTCGATATTGTCATCTCTGCATTCCAGAATCTTCATGTGAATGCAGTTACTGTTCTTTAACTCTTTATGATCCCCATCAACAACGGAGCTCAGAGCCAAAGACAGCTTTGTAGGCAACACTGACATTTTTCAACTTTTACTACCAAACATGCAAATCATGCGCAGTTTTTAATATTCATTCAAAGGGGGTAGGTTAGGACTGCTAATTTTACAGCCTGTAAGGTATGTGCCTGATGGAAATAAACTGGCTGTACGAGTCAGTTGGTAGTTTGACGTAAGACTGTGTTGTGACTGGAGGGTGTTTTTGCTTTGTATTATAACCTAAAGAATCCAGTCTTTTCAGTTAATGACAGTCTAATAAATACACGTCCCACAAAAGAGACCGGATGATTAATGTTGTAATTCAGCAAATCCAGTTTGTTGATTTTGTTTGCCTGCAACTACGATGGCAAACTGCCAGACTTAATAAGCCAGAATTGTTTAACCAAATTAGACAATGATCAAAAACGCTCCAGACCACATATACAAAGGATGCAGTTTCTGTTACCAGAACGTCTCTCCAAGTCGCTCGGCAGAAAGAAAAGCAAAGATCAGCTGGCTGGGATTCCCTTATGGCACACTCCCAAACAGTGAAATCATCACTTTTTTGGCAGGCGCTTGAGGTGAACAGCAGTGCACCACAGAAACGTTTTAATATGTGGCTTTTGGCAAAGGCGCAGTTTGAACCCAAGCCAAGCCACTCAGCTGAATTCACACAACCTCCTCCCAACACTCAGAATGCTATTCTGAAGCAATAAACTCTGCCTTTTTATAGGCACATCTAATGTGTTAAAGGCAGTGTGTATCTGTGAATGCAGCACACAAAATCCAGTTTTAAATAGGGGATTTATAACACACAAAGTATGTGACATGTATAACGTCAACTTATTATTTTTTTAACTCAGTTTGTATAGCATTTTTGTTTCAATGGTGCTTTGCTAGTGTTGTCAAAAGTGTTGTGGTGGTGGTTCGTGCGCTACATGTGTATTAATAATTGCGAATAACATGCCTTACCTTAACACAGAATCGACCACAGAGTCCAAAGTTTATATTTTTTCTACGAATCTTGAAGTTAACATGTACTAAACATGAGTGGAATTTGCACCGCAGCGCCCCCACACCTTGATGCTCATGACAAGAATAGCATGTATAGTTATCTTTATAGAAGTGAATTAGGTTTAAATTGCCGTCATGCATAAATTAATGATATTTTTGCAATTTTACACATAATAATCCACGATGATCACATTACACAAAACTGAAATTGCACGTCAAAATAACACATCGTCAATGACCCCCCAAAATTTCATATATCACGTTTTTTCAGGGGAGCCCATGTCTTATTAAGGGGAGCCAATCTCCCCCTAGCTCCCCCGTAGTTCGCACCCTGGTTCAACGTGAGCTCTGTATGCTTGCAAATCATTTCACTACAACCAACAAAGTATAAACCATATAAACAAAATGTAAATAAGATATTCATTGTGCAGTACAGAAAGATTTTTCAGTCAGTTCAGTCAGTGAGTTCACGCTGAGCTGATAGCTTCATTGATTATAAATTGAGTGCTCTTTGCTTGGTTTCTATATAAACCCATTCATAATTTGAATAAATGTTTTATTTTATATGCAGCCAAGCCAAGTACACAATGCAAAGTTTCGGGAGTGATGACCGTATTAAAATGTGGACTGAATCTGCGATGTTTGATAAAGTAATAACCACAGCAATGGACGGGACAAAAACAATCTGATGTGCCAAAATAGATCTGTGATCAAATCTTGTGCAACGCAATTTTTACATAATTGAACAATATTTGAAGGCTACATGGTAATATTTAATTTACTTATAAGTATTAATAGCGATAATAACTAATTTTATTTCTTTAATATTTTTATTATAAAATAGTAAAATTTTTAAAAATTAAACGTTTTTGATATGGCATTGAAATTGGTAATGAGAACCGTGGAATTGTATTGGTACCGTGACAACAGTAGTTTGTACAGCATTTTTGTGTAAATGGTGCTTTCTGTTTCACTTGAGTAAAGTGTTGCCCAAGAGCTCTGAGCTAAAATGGCCACACTGAGACACGCATATAGGATTAATCTAAAAACAGAGCAGTTCCCTCCTTGAGCTGCGACACTAGATATCTGATCCCACTCAACACTACCTAGTAACACGCTAAGCTGAAACCAGTTTGGCCAGCTCAGAGCCGGGTTTGCCAACCTATAAACTTGTGAAAAAGATGACGGTTGATACGGCTGCTTCATTCCGATCACGACAGGTGTGACAGGATGCAGGGCCTCATTCCTGCTCATATCTCACCTTATCAGTTTAAACCCCACATCGACTTATTTCACATACAAACAACCCCAGGACTCACTCAATATCACATATGCAGCTCTACAACACCCCTGAAATATATAGAATGCAACTGCAAAGATTTATTGTTTATGGTACTTACACATTAATTGTAACATTAAAGAAACACGTCATAAGGAATAAGAATTAAAACACAATTGAGGATTGTATCATGTAATTTTCCCACCTCTCATGCACCAAACAAGCATTAAAGTTCCTCTTCTGCTGCTGTCCCTTCTGTTTGTTTTACTGACAACTTTATAAAATCTCTCTTTTACATTATCTCTAGTCTAGCCACAGGACTGGTATAGAATCACGTCTTCTGGCAAAGTGAAAACTAAACCACATTATTAGAAATGCACATCTGCATTGTGAACGTCGCTTCCTGAGTACAAGTTTGAGACAATGCAATTTCTTAGACTCAGCTTGTTAGGTCTTTAAGACCTGAAATATATCACCAAATACGTCTTTAACACTAATTTGCTCTCTCTCTCAGGCCAAAGGGCATTTAGCAGGAGGCCCAGTAAACCAACACATGAGATTTTAAATAGCACCCAACAGCAGACAAACAAGCCACAGTACTCGTTATTCCAATGGGGAAAATATGAAAAAAAAGCAGAGTAAGAGATTAAAACACTCTCCATACCATAATAAAAAGTTGTCCAATTTGTCCAAAGTTTGAAATGCAATGCAACAAACAACTGACTTTAACATGCACTTTCTCTTCTGTTCTGCTTTTGAGCACCCAAATTATGGCAAAGTCTAACACACAATTCTCATTTATTGTTCTATGGAGTCAACAAGACATTTAAGGAACTCTTGTCTTGCCCAAGATTCATTATAGACATTGATATAAATGCAAACATTGTGCATAGATGAATTCATTTTTGCGTTTGATTACGGAGTTCTCCAATAAAATATATTCCCTCTAAAGGTACAATGCACTAAAAATGGAAACGCGTTTCCTTTGTGTTTTTGAAAAGTTTTGCCTACAGATGACAATGTTGTCAAAACAATCCTTTCTCACCTGGAAAATGACTAAAAAAAAGCTGTATTATGCATGCCAGGCCAGTAGTTGGCGATGTCACTTTGTAAAGAAACACTATGCGTTTACGCCTGTAGACTGAACATGTAATAGGCATGTGCAGGACATCACCATTCTCACAAATTTGCGTTTTGGTAGGTTACATGGAGACGATAACAGTATAATTCTCAAAAACTTGCACTTTGAAACGCGGCTTTGAAAGTGTATAAACGAACGGCCAAATTGCATAAAAAGTTTTCTGTTTTAGTTGAAAATGGTGTAGTGTAAATGCTCCCTACATGCCTATATATCCCAAGATTAAGTGTGAGTAGATACTGAATTACATATCTTTTCCAGCTGTTGCGTGTAGTGTTTCAGTACAGTATGTGATGAAGCCATGTGTAGTCTACACAAGCAAATGTGCTTTTCTGGAACAGCAATCCAATTAAGGTTGGAGAAATCTGCTTTGTGCTGATTTACACGGGTAATTAACAATGGAGAGAATGAAATCAAATCAGTCTTAACAACAGGACTCTTTAAAAAGGTTTGCTTTTCCCCTTGGGAGTGACAGATCTGTAGGGATCTAAATCCATATATGAAGGCATATTGAGATAATGCACAATTCAGATATTTCTCACATTATAAAAGGAGGACACATATATATATATATATATATATATATATATATATATAGCATAAATAGGTTAGATAGTATCCATTATATATATAATTACATATTTAGTATTATGTCATAAATAAATTACAGATTGACAATAATTGGTTCAATATATATTTTTTACAGATATTCATTTCACACTTTTCTATTTAATACCATCATATATTTATCATTTCTACAAGGCACCAGCTGAAAATAATATCACACAACAATTATACCACTGTTTTAATATTTCCTTTTTTTCCATTTATTGTTATGGCATAATGAAGTGAGCAAATTGTAATATTTTAAATGTAACAGTTAGACATAACCTAAAATAAGGAAGAATATCTGCACACATTTAGAATGCAAACTACTTCACATAAATAGAATGGCATTAATTATATTATATTATAAAATTATTGACTAAGAATAAAAATTTTTTGAGTTATTATTGTGTCAGTAGAAAAGTATTATGTCCTGCATATTAGTTACCGGACACCTATATAGACAATTTGCCTTAAAAAGGCCAATTTAATGCAATCGATCAACAAACAAACAAACAAACAACTTCCACAAGATCACAGATAATCAACCTAGATCAAAAATAAATAAATAAATAAAAAATACATTTATACAAATATACAGTTACTGTATATGTGTTTGTATCAAGTGTTTATTCTGATGGCTATAAAATACACTGACACTAACACATCAGCATATGATCAGCTTTAAACAACCAAAGACAGAAATGAAAACTCATTAAACCTTCCGAGGTAACATATTTCCCATACAGTCAACGCAAACAGGAAAATGTGAATGTAGGCTGAGAGGAAAAAAACACACTTCACTTACCAGTTTAACTTCCGTTTAGTTTTTTTTATTGGGAAGCGGAAGAAACATTCCTGATTTGCCTGTAAAAACAACCCGCTCGCGACGCTCTCTTAGGCAATGTTTAATCACAGTCGCGAACGTACGAGAGCCTATAGAAACAGTATGGCTGGTGCTCTCTCTGAAGCACCTCTCTCTTCCTCATTTGATTTCGATATAGAGGTTAATTTGACTGTAACATCATATGTGCGTCTAATCTGAGGCGGTGCCCGCGGTCGGGGAGTCAAACCATTGGTTGACAAACAGCAATCAGATGCAAATTCCAAACCTCTGAATCAATGGGGCTGCCTTCCCCCACTCTATAGGCAACATCTACAAATAACTCAACGCTAATAAGTGGCGGAAGGTCCCACACTAAATGACCTTTGCATTAAAGACTTGTGTTTGGGTCTGGTGATATATTTGTGTTGATGACCGAAACCCATTATGAAAAGCCGCCCATTTAGACCCTCGTTCCGTGTATGTATATGTACATATACGCTATATGATGGTATCTATACATTTGGCGACGTTCCCTGCCAGGGGCCCTCCCCTTTTATCACAGGCACCACTAATGTCTAGCTGCTGCTGGAGTTATCATGCAAACACATAGAGCTGTATATCTTCGATTATCATTAATAAACAACCTGGTTTGTTTGCAAATAACAAAAAAATAAATAAAATAAATAAAAATAACAATTTACTAATTTAGGTTGAGATTAAAAGCATATGAAAGTCAGTACATTTGAACAGCTTTAAATATGTATAAATGTATAAAAATATTATAAAATTAAATGTTTATTATGTGTAACATCCAACCTAAAATGCACAAAAGATAAAACATGCATCATTCACATGTACATTTTAAGAGATATATTATGGTGTTATCTGAAATTATCTGATTAAGTATGATATACATTTTGTATGAATCAAGTAGAGGCCATTTCCGAGAACGGACGTATGCACGTCTCAGGTTAAAGTGCAGAAACTTTTGCACAGTATTTAGTTTCCACCTACCGGACAGAGCAAGTATTGCATTATTGTGGACATATAATATTAACAATCTGAGACAAAAAGGTGCAAAAGTTGTCGCTGGGGCGGCACACTTTCATTAAGGTACTAATATGTACCATTTATGTACTAATATGTACGGATATGTACCTTTAAGTTACTAATATGCACCTTTTAAGTTTATATTTGCACTTCATCAACCTGGACAAAAAAATTATACATGCTGTTGCATTTCAAAATATCAAACTGTGAGAGGCACACTTTTCATAAAACAAATACAAGTAACACACACACACACACACACACACACACACACACACACACACACAAAT